GATGATATTTAGCATGTGCGGTCTTCTCATGAAGGTAAATCGATCTAGCGGAAACCGGTCTTGTGATGGCCGATTTATACACTCTAAATTCAAGATTTCTTATTTTAAGAAAAAAGTTTAAAACAAATCATAGAATAAGATTTAGTTCTCGTAAATTCAAACTGCCTGTTTTTTGTTTACAAAAAAAGAGTTCTTATCCTATGATTTGCTTTAAATTTTTGCCAAAAATGAGAAAACTTTTTCTTAAATTGAGAGATTCAGAGCAATCTCGAATTTAGAGTGTTAGCTTAACTGTTTTCCTTTCTCGGTTGAATTTGAACAGAAATACATGTAGTTAATGCAAAGATCACGCATATCCTGTGTAGTACGTACACTTTATAAATACCAGGCCTTCTAGCACCAATGGACAATTAGCCTGTGAATAGGCTCTCTGTTTTGGGAGAAGGGTGAAAAAATCGCGAGGAGAGAGAAGGAAAAGGGTGAAAGCCTGTAGACAAACATTTGAGGCTGTTGTTCCGCCTTCTTGTCTTGTAATTGCCGCTCATCTGTCAGCAAGATCGTTATCTGTCACTTGGGCACATTGGAATGTAATCGATGGCGCATGTAAAAAGGGGTCGGTAGGCAACACACAACTTTGACCTCGTGCCAAAATGCTGCTTTTTCCAATGAGTTTTTTCTGCTCTGGAGGGCTTAGTTTTAAATGAGAAAATGTGATTTTTGCTGGTTATTTCATTCTGAGAGGTCGTGACACGCACATTGATTTTCCGCGGTAATTGTTTCTGGTCGGCGTGATTTGCCCTCTGATGCAAGAACATTCATTGTGGCTAAAAAAGCTCATTATTCAAGCCCCAGAAGACACCATATTAAAGATCAGAAGACCTGTTTACAAGCGATTATTCAAATTAAATCACGTGCTACGTGCCAACTAAAAAAGCGGTGTAAATCAAACCTGTCAACAGTCAGTGTTCTCGCCAATGGGAGCTTGCATCAGGATCTGATGCACAGTGGGTGCCGTGGAACGACGGTCCAAAATGTTTGTCTACAGGCTCTCACCCTTTCTCTTCCCACTCCTTGCGATTTTTTCACCCTTTTCCCAAACAGAGAGCCTGTTCACAGGCTAATGGGTAATTGCATTTAATATTCGCACCCCGCGGTTAAGCAACCATGGAATTCTCCAGGGGTAAGTTATAAAAATTGAGGATTTCTTTAGGGGTAGAGTAAAAAAATATATTGAATTCTCTGGGGGTGAAGCTTTAGTTTTCACGAAATTCTTCATGGGTAGTACCCATATTCTTCAGGGGTTAGCCCACATTTTATGGAAGTCTTCAGGGGTGAACGTAATTTTAGCCAATCTTCACGGGTAAGAAGAAAAGGTTAGTCCTCAACTGAGCAGGATGGAGGGTAGGGGGATGGTGGGGGTATGGATATTAAATACGCTTTCACAATTATGATCACCCATTAAAGGGAAAATGCTTTGATCTTTCGACAGTAACCTCTCAAGTCGCCTGAAAGTTGTGTCCTTAGAGACCAGAGTTACAGGCTGTAAGTCCCCTGAAATGCCGAGTCATGTCACCTGAATTTTTTCAGGCGAAGTGCACAGGGAAACAAAGTTAATTTCTGTTAAATAAAGATTGTATGTTTATATATCTTTTTCCTTAAACCATCATCTGACGAAACAAGTGTAATGAATGTGTAACATATCTGATTCTTTAGCGATAATAAGACAAATCAAGTGCTATAAATGTGTAATATATCTTGCTCTTTAACCCTTGATTAACAACAAAACAAATGCGATATATGAGTAATATATCTCATTCTATAATCAATGAGACGAAAAAAGTGCGCAAAGGTAATAGAGATGTTAGGATATTGTTGAGCATGATAAAATTTCGAGCCTGGTTTTAACTCAGCATCTTGGGCGACTTGAATAAACCTATTGGGTGACATAACTGTGATTTTGGGTGACACAACTTCAGGCGAGATGACTTTTGGACGACGACTTGACCATAAACCCTTTCAACTAATTCTTTAAGGACGTCCGTCTGACAATTTTTTGGTGGATTTTTGGGGCTTACAGGGTTAGTACCATAAACTAAACTGTGAACATTTCCTGTTCAGTTAGTCAAGTATAAATGAAGCTTGGAAAAACTGAAGATACATGTACATGTACCCCTCACTGCCCATTTTTATTATTATTATTATCTGACGTTATTATTTTCATTAATGTAATTATTTTATTAGCTCAAGTGGGCAGCATGGGCAGCGGTCTTCTGTTCTTTCATCACATTTTCCAATTCACGCTCATCTGAGGATACCAAACAGATGTTTAGCAGTTTTTTGTAAGTAGTAAGATCACCTTTTAATTTAATTATTGTTATTGTTACTTTTATAATTCAATAACAGAATGAGCAGTTGACAAATTTCTCTTCACACTCTAGTCTGCCACACTGATTTCAAATTTTAGTTTTGAAGGTTCATTTGAATAATCCCTCTAGCCTGC